TATACCACTAATGAGTTTATCTTATGCTTCTACTGTTCTTGTTGATATTCAATGATTGTTCTTTTTCTTTCTCTCTATAATATACTTTCTCTCCCTCTCTCGTTTCTCTCTCACTATATAAAGAGTGGACGAGAGGGAAGAGAGGCATTCTTTTGGATAATAAACTCAAGAATCGTTACAATTGGCGACTCTGACACTCGAATCTATCTTTTCTTTGACGAAGTCTCTTTCTTAATCTCTTCTCTACTGTATTTCTCTTACTACAATGGCTGAATCTAAAGTTCCACTTGAGACGGTTATCAAACACCTCTCTGACACTCTCACCCAACAGAATAATACTATCAATCGACCTGAACAAACCATGGGATCTATTTTATCCCAGGTCGATACTCGCATAGATACTCTCCGTACAACGAACCAAGAAGAACTACGTTCGCTCGTAGCAGTAAATATGCAATCTCTCAATACCGATCTTCATGAATTAAAGGCTCTGCTCACTAATCGTCCAACGGCACCATCCCCATCACTTGGACACCCATTACTGAACAACTCGACAGCTAACAACCATACACCAATGCAAACTACCTCACCTAATTTTATCAATACGTCAACAGCTATACCTTACGAATCTCCTCCGCCAACTTTTCAACCGATGAACACCATTGTTCTACCCCCAACTACATCACTACCTACATTTTCCGGGAAACCCACCGAACGTCCCCATCAATTCTTAATACGAGTGGAAGAATACGCTCGTACAGTCAATAATTGGTCTCGAGAGACTCTTCTTCGTGGTATTTCCAAATTTCTCAAGGAAGACGCCTTCGAATGGTATTGTCAACTCTATTATACAAATACCACTCCTAACGACTGGAATCAATTTGTGGTAAGGTTTCTCGCTCAATTTCACTCGCCTAGTCGTGCTGCTCAACAAGAACAAGCCTGGATCGAGTGCAAACAATACGAGACTGAAACGATCAATCAATTTGTCGTTCGACTTCGGTCAATCTGGCTCGAACAAAAACCTAATGAACTCGAGTCCGACTTTACAAAACACCTTTTTTGTAAAATGCGACCCGACATGCTAAATCTCATGAATTTCTCACTTTCATCTTCGCTTGACGTCATTATCCTTGAAGCACAAAAGGTCGAAGAAATTCTTTTTCTCCGCAATCAAGAACAGCGGCAACGCGACATGCACAAAGCCAAACCTACACCCCACAGCAGCTACATCAATCATCGATCATCATTCTCCTCACCAGTGAAACCGACGTATGCACCCCCACTCATAGGCATCACCAGTCGTCATCGTTTTCCTACCTGCTCAACACAGCTTCCATCATCGATACAATCCTCATCTCCTCGGAATTCAATTACGTGCTGGCGCTGCTATGAAACTGGCCACTACTCTACCGACTGTCCGGCCAATAACGATAACACCTATCCTGCCCCCACGTCAAATACGACTTACGACCCTTACATATCGCAACCACTACCACAACGTAAAAAAAAACATCTAAGGAGTTTTCGTGGGGCGGGATCACAAAACTCCTCTTACCCACCCCCGCTTATGCCATCTCATCAGATCCATACAATTGACACTTATCTCCTCAACCTCTTACGATTGATGGACACATTGGTTCTTCAGCGGTCGTTTTCTTAATCGACACTGGTTCTTCCCTTACTCTCATCAACCATCATATCTTCACACAACTCGATCCTCACCTCACTCGCCATCGACGTCGACCTAACACTTCTCTCTTTTTGCGACTCGCTAACAAATCAACAATATCTATTCAATGGATTCTAAGTCTTCCGATTACTCTTCAAAAAATCACTCGCTGGCATACTGTATATGTAGTACGCGATCTATGGCGTCCCTGTATAATTGGAAATAACTTTATTCGCGAACACAACCTTCAGATCGATGGTGGACGACAAACCGTCTACTTTACACACACCGTGAAGAAAGATTCGACTATTAATCAACCACATAATTCCGTCACACGTCTTCGACACACTGAACCGTCTATGTCTAGTCCTTCTATCTCTCGTGTTCATACCACCGTATCCTCTCACTTTGTGCCGTCTACATCAATTCCCGATCTTACTGAAATACTTACTTCACCGTCAGCTCAAAACAAGCCTACTATTTCAACTAAAATTTCATTTTTGCCTCACAAATTCAACGCTATCTCTCATGATAGTCATAACCCGACTGACCAAGCTTCGGATCTCTCAGATTCCATCATATCATCTAAAGAACAAATCCAGCTCTCTAACCTTATACAAGCCTTTCCACAAGTCTTCACCAATACACCTGGACGTACCAACAAACTTAAACACCACATCGACCTTATCCCCGGATCTAAAGCTCGTAACTCAGCACCTTATCGGTACGCACCTGCTCGTCGGAAAATTATTGATGAAAAGCTGGATGAAATGCTGGACCAACACATAATCATTCCTTCTAAAAGTCCGTGGGCCTCTCCGGTGGTTCTCGCTCCTAAGAAGGATGGTTCGTATCGGCTCTGCATTGACTATCGAAAATTGAACGAAGTTACGATACGTGATGCCTATCCCATACCGCGCATTGATGATACACTTGACGCACTGCAACATGCTCAATTCATCTCAACTCTTGATCTACAGTCTGGCTACTGGCAAGTCGAAATGGACGATGTTAGCAAACCCATAACTGCTTTCGTTACTCATAGGGGACTATTCGAATGCACTGTCATGCCTTTCGGCCTTACTAATGCTCCAGCCACCTTTCAACGTCTGATGGATATTGTTTTAGCAGGACTTAAATGGCAATGCTGCTTAGTGTACCTTGACGACATTATTATATACTCTGCTACCTTCGATCAACATCTTCAGGATCTTCGTAACGTCTTCCTCGCTCTTACTGACGCTAATCTAACACTTAAAGCATCGAAATGTCACTTTTGTCGCCGTGAGATGACATTTCTGGGACATCTTGTTACTCCTGGTGGAATCAAACCTGATCCTGGGTTAACGTCAACAATCGCAGCGTTTACTCAACCTACCACAATTAAAGATGTTCAGGCATTTCTTGGCATCACCGGCTATTATCATCGATTTATAAAAAATTACGCTAAAATTGCCGAACCCCTTTTAAAATTACTTCGCTCACAACAAACCACAACTACCCGTAGTCAACTCCCTTGGAATGACGATTGCACCAATGCATTCAATACGTTAAAACAAAAGCTAATTTCTCCTCCTATTATGCATTCACCAAATTTTTCCTTTCCGTTTATTCTCAAACTGGATGCTTGTGAATATGGTATAGGATGTATATTTACTCAAGAGTACAACGATCGTAAATATGTTATCTCATACGCTAGTCGAACATTGTGCACCGCTGAACGCAATTATAGTTCTGTCGAACGTGAAGCTCTCGCGATTGTCTGGGCTACGAGACACTTTCGTCAGTATTTAGAAGGTGCACCAGTTCTGGTCAGATCAGATTGTAAAGCTCTCGAATGGTTAAAAACAGCCCGTGATCCAACCTGTCGTCTTGCACGCCGGGCTATGAAACTCTCACCGTATCATATAATCATTCAACATCGCCCAGGTAAATCAAACCCCAATGGGGATTTCGTCTCTCGCTATCCAGTCACCAACGTCGATTCAAGTCCTTTCGAAGTGAATTCCATTGATGTAGCACTCAATATTCTGGAAGGTACTAATATACTCGAGGATATTCGAGCTCAACAGCAGGCCGATCCACGTCTCGCTCGAATAATCGCAACTCTGAAGGAACACCCGTCTATGCCATTTGGAGACAAACACGCACCGTACCTCCTCATCAATGACCTTCTCTACAGAGTCCGTCACATCAACTCTCACAATGATCAACGTCTATTAGGAAATAAACGCCTTCTCGTCATCCCTCAATCACTACAACGTCAGATTCTTACTTGGGCGCACGACCATCCAACAGCAGGTCATGCAGGACGTATAAAAACACTTTTTCGTTTATCTTCTCGCGTTTATTGGCCTTTCATGCGGAAAGACGTTTTTAGATATGTGCAGTCATGTACAGATTGTCAACAATTCAAATACAACAACACTCCGACACCAATACCTATGCAACTTCATACTATTACTCAACCTTGGCACACTATCGGAATTGATATCATGGGACCCTTTCCACCAACACCTCGACAGAAAAGATACCTTCTTGTTATCGTCGATTACTTTACCAGATGGGTAGAAATGTTTGCGTTACACTGAACGACGGCTACCGATGTCGCAAATATACTCATCAACGAAGTGATTTGTCGCTACGGTATCCCGACATACATTCTGTCGGACAATGGACCTCAATTTGTTTCTCAATTATTTAACGAAATTTGCGACTCTCTTGGTATACAACGTAAGTCTATAGCTAACTACCATCCACAAACGAACATGACAGAACGTGTCAATCGTACCTTAAAAGCACAGATTGCTATCTACGCACAACGCCATCCCGGTTTATGGGACAAAGAGATTCAAAAACTTGCTTTTTCAATTCGAACATCCATCAATGAAACCACTGGTGAAACTCCTGCTTACCTCAATTTCGGTCGAGACCCAAAAGTACCGCTCGACCTTATCCTTAGCAGTCCTATACTAGGTCCACCACCTACAACACCTGAGCACAAATACATCCGTTACTATCGTACTAACTTAATGAATAATCTTCGAATCGCACATCACCTTGTCCGTGAACATTCTGAAATAAAAAAGCTAACCCAAAAGTCGAATTATGATAAACATGCAACAAATCAACAGTTCTCTCTCGGTGATCTTGTCTGGGTAAAGTTGCCCACCCCGCAAATCGATCACACAACTATTACGCACAAATTACGACCAAAGTATCAAGGTCCATGTCGTCTCTCTGAACAACTCTCACCATCCACTTTCATTATGACGCGAATCAATGACAATGTGAGTCTTGGCTCTACCAACGTGAATCGAATGAAATTTTACTATGAACCAGTTAAGAATACTAATCTGTCTCCCTTTACTGCACCTCCCCCTCTCGCTGCCCAAGCTCGTCGTTTTTCCATACGCTCACGGCGACCCCCTATTCAATATTGAAATTCCAAACTAATTCTTTCTTGTGTTTATGTCTGTTGGTTTTCTTTTTCGTCTTCTCTCATTATCTCTCTTCTTTTCTCTTCACTGTTGTTTTCTTTTTCCCTTTTTTCACTTGTTATTTTTTTTTCTTCACCTGCTTCATTCTCTCTCTCTTCTCATCTCCCTCATGAATCCTTCCTTCGTCTCTTTTCTCCTCTCCTCTTTCTTTCCTGTTGCTTCCATTGTTACGTTTCTCTCACATACTCTGCATTTCCTTTCCTTTCACACATCATTAATTAATCCTGTCAAAGTTATTCTTTCATCCTGCTCCTACTCTAACAACTGTTTATTTCATTGTCTCTCACTCTTTTACTTTACTCATGATTTTTATTCTCGTCCTGTCTTCGCTCTCTCCTCTCCATTGATTTTTTCCCCGTTTTCCCTCTCTTGTCTCTTCCCTATGCGTTCTCCTCGCTTCTACTATGTGTCTTCTTGTCTTTCGTCTAGACTTTTCTTTTTCCATATCGCTCTCTCTCTCTCTCCCTCTTCTTCTCATATCCATCGTTCATAGGCGTATTCTTCATCTATATATTACTGCTCATATTCGTCTATTCTATCAATATACAATCCATAACTGTTCCAGAATCTCAATTCTTCTGTACCATGCTTACAATCTCACATCTCTTTCTTACTCTTTTCACACTACTCTACCTTCTCGTTCCATCTTTGCTTATTCACCCTATCGTTGATCTTCCACGTTCCGACGTAGTGCATGCAGCTTCCGGTCTGATTTTTCATTATATTACTCAATATTCTCCTGCCGATCGTATCGTTTCCTTCACTGTTTCGATCCCCATGACTTGGGATATGTGTTACCTGATTCCGATCAACGCTATTCGGAAAATATCCGGTTGTCATCGACCGGTTGGAAATTCATCTCGTCAATCACCACCTCGAAGTAAGCGTTTTATCGCGGGTGTTGTAGCCATTGGTATTGGCTCCGCTGCTCTCGCTCTCTCTACCCACAATTCCATTCAAATTCTACGACTACAACACGAAATTCGAGCAGCGAGCAGCTCTTTATCCACGTTAACTGATGCGACGAACACCCACACCACACAACTATTTCATCTCAATCAGGGACAATTGAAACTTGCTCATTCGCTTAACAACACCCAGGCCGCTCTTAATCGTACCATCGCTCTCGTCAACGAACATTCTCTTGTCCTCGGTGAACATAATGCAGCAATTGAACAACTCGCATCGTTTGCCCACTTAATTAATCATAAACTTTCCACATTTATGCACTCTATTGAAACTCATTTTCTTCATACTTCTCTATCCGATATCCTTGATAATCGCCTCAATCTACACTTCATCCATCACAAAGACTTACCTAACTTGCTCGATTCTATTATCTCATCTACTAACGTCTCTTTTAATGTTGATTCAACATCTCTACCACTTGTCGAGCTCGTCAGTCGTCTCCTCGTACAACAACACATCAACTTTCTTCCTCGCAGTAACCATCCGACAGTTTCTGATTCGGTTATTGGTGTTCTCTCAATCTCACCTTTTTTTGCTGCAACAGCAAATAAAAAAACAAGCTTCTCTCTGTACGAATTACTTCCAATACCGTTTCCATATGGTGGTCTTCGTGTTCGTCTAGCTGATATACCCTACATTATTGGCTTTGATTCTAATAACCGCAATCTTATTAGATGGACGAAAAGCGAGTCAACGACATGTGACTTTCGTACTATGTCAGTATGCCGGGAAACTCCACCGATCATCACGAACTGGAATGACACATGTATATTTCAAATTCTTGCTGACCTTACGTTATCCCTCTGCCGCACCGAACAATACCGCGAACCAATTTTTGTTCATCGACTAGGTAAACAATGGGCAATTTCTACTAACACCAGTACTCAATGTCATTCTACCTCGTTCTCACCTACAGAACAATCTTATGCTTTTCATAACAATCTACGTACTCTACCAGCCGTCGCACTTATTACTATTCCTCTTCAAACCGTATTAATATGCGATCGCTTCTCCATCTCAACCTCTCCCGTCACTACTGGACCAGCACTTTCACTATTAGATTCTTCGATTATCAATACATCCGACACAGACACTATCGATCTCTATCAACACCTGTCAAACTCAACTCGTTGGCCTAAATTACCGTACGTCTCGGACAATTTCCAAGCTATTTTCGACTTCATCTCAAATACTCCAACTCCATCGGCAACTCTTCCAATTCACCATTTGCACCGATACCCTTTTTCATTCCTTGCTTTCGCTTTTGTTTTAATTACTTTTGCCCTCCTCGGTTTTCTGCTTTATTGCCATTATGTTCGTAAGTCCACTGTACCGGCTATACATTTCCAACTTCCTACTATTAGTTCGGCTGTTCCCTCTTAACATGGAACATGTTATTACGCTTTTCATTTTTGTTCTTACTATGTCTCTCCTCTAACAACTCAATTGATCTTACTTTTTCTCCTCATTGATTTTTTTTCCTCTCTTCCTCTCCTCCTCTTCATCTCTCTTGTTTTTTTTCGCCTCTTCTCCGTTTCCTTTTCTTCTCTCTTCTAATTTTCAGTTCCTCTCTCTTTCGCCTAGTTATGTCCGATGTTACCGACGCTCAGGAGAGCGTCTCGATTACATTCGGGGGTGTGACAACTCCGGTTGAGCGTGTTATGCATCATTATATACTGTCACTGTTGTTTAGATTGATTGTTTCTATTTGCTGTTTTAACTTATTACATCATTCATTGTTACCTAATATGTTACCCGTTCTTCTTACACTTTCATCTATTACTAATTACCATATCGTTTGTCTATCACTCATCATGCTAAACATAACCTTATGCGCTGTATAAGAATATACCACTAATGAGTTTATCTTATGCTTCTACTGTTCTTGTTGATATTCAATGATTGTTCTTTTTCTTTCTCTCTATAATATACTTTCTCTCCCTCTCTCGTTTCTCTCTCACTATATAA